TGAATGCTAGCTCCCTTTCCTGATGGTTGCAGTGAATATCTTCCAGCTGAGATTGGCACATATGTTCTGAGGGGTGTTAAGTATTTATTCTGTAAAGTGATACTGAATTTTAAATGTTGGGACCATCTTGGAAATTCTAGGACTTATGGTGGCAGAATTCATAATGCCTAGTACAGGCGCTGGGTCTTAGTGGACCCTAGAGGGATGATGAAGTATTTCATAATAACCATAGGGAGAAAAATACCCTAATGACCTTTTACAGCAATATTAGACTACAGGGCCTATCGCTCACACTTCTTTTTTATTTATCTTGCTGTCCACCGAGAACATAGTTCTGGGTAAAAGGAAAGCTTGCAATGTTTTGACTACATTGTGTCTGATTGACAGACATGGATGCTGTCTTCTGATTTTAGGCCGGGAAGGTGCGGAAAGGGGCTGTTTCAGGTGGAAATACACAGGAATCTGCGTATTTCAGGTCTCGAACCCCTCTTCTCAAATGTCCAAAGGAAGAGCCCTCCTTAGACCAGTAAAGCCAGGCTCCCAGGAAGATCTCCCCGTCAGTATGTGTGTGGTTCGTCAGGCGCACGCTCCCTCACGCCTTTCCAAGGGCTGAATGGGCATCTGGGTGACAAGAAAGGAGGGGGGCCAAGCATAGTTCCACCTATTCTAATTTACACAGAGTAGTCCCATTACCCACCCACCTCTGAAACTACCGCAAGTGTGTTAAAAGCCAAAGACCAGTTGGGCTGTACAAATCTAATGGCACTCAGAGGGTGCTCAGGAGAGGAGCTGGACGCTAAGAGGAAGGCCCGCTCAGGCTGCTGATACAGATATCTTCTGGAACCTCGATGGGATGGAAAGAGAGCATCACAACTTCACAGCTGGGATTTGATGGAGCTGGATTTCTACTTCAGAGTTGATGCTTGAATACCTCAGATCCCAAGGTATATCTCAGATCCTAAGGTATACTGCTTCTTTCTGGGGAAATGCCAAAAATGTCATGGCCTGCGGCTCTTGGTGCAGTGTATATCTAGAAAAGAAGACTGGCGTTTGTTTGCATCTTTTCCCAGGTTCTTGAAGTTGATCTGGCTGAATTTTGGGGTGGACAAAATATTCAGTGTAGTTTTTCCTTTAAAAAATTTTTTTAAATATTTATTTTTAATATTTTTAAATATTTTATTTTTATATTTATATTATTATAAATATTATATTTATATAATTTTTTATATTTATATAAAAATTTTAAAT